GTAGTCAAATGGTTACATATATCTTTTCGAGTCTAGATCCACAATATTGTTTAAACCATGAGTATAATTTAGACCATCTCTTCTTGTACAAATCTTCATCTTTACCTTGCAGTACAATATTTAGTCTGTCCATTTCTGCAACTTCAAGCAATCTCTGTACCAATTCTTCCATAGTGGGGATTCTCTCAGTTTTCCAACCTTTGGCTAACAGAATTCTAGCTGATGTTACAATACACGTTATAAGACAAGAGTCATTTTGAACACAACTATCTGGGAGTATATTCAGTAAATATATTTCAGGTTTTAGTGCCATATCAATATCTATAATTTCATATATTATCTTATGAATCTTGCCCCAAAACTTATACACCTTTCTACATTTCCATCACATGTGATAATAGGTGCCCACATTGTTTTTACATTTCCAACAAGTATTTGTGGTTGTTGGGAAACATTTTTATTTGAGGAGTGGAGGTTTGAGGAGTGGAGGGCCCTCAGTGGGGTATAATGTCACCTTCCAAAGCAACCATTTTCTCCATATCTCTGTCACCTGGAGATCAGTGGTAATCCCAGGAGATATCCAGTCACCACCTGGAGGTTGGCCTCACTACCTAGACCCGTCCTGCCGGTCCGGGAGTTGGCTGAGTATGGGCGCGCCGCCAGAGCGTCACCGGAAGTGACGTCATACGCTGGGCGGGGCCACGCCATTTGAGGGGAAAACAAAGAGTTTTCCCCTCAAATGGCGTGGCCCCGCCCAGCGTATGATGTCACTTCCGGTGACGCTCTGGCGGCGCGCCCATACTCAGACAACTCCCGGACCGGCAGGACGCTCCCCCGCCGGTAAGTTTTAAAAATTTGGCAACCCTACCACACATACCCAGTCAGTGGGGCACCCCATAGAGCCCAAAGAACTTGTGCCCCGAGGAAACGTCATGCCTGTCATGATGGCAGAGAAATAAGGTGCTTTGAAGCTTACCAGGGGGGTTTCTGGCACTCTGAGAGCAGCTTGCTTTCCCAGGGAAGAGGGCCATAAAATGCACCAAGAGGTCAGAAAGATTTGTTTCCACAAAGAGACAATAATTTGTTCGATCTGCCAGGAAGGCCCAAATGGATGGCTGTTGTAAAAACATGGTTTGGGTATTGAGATATGTGGGACCGGAGTTCGTGAATGATTGGGAGCTGAGGATTTGCCATCCATGCAGGAGCGAGCTCCCTAACTCTGGACTGTGTAAGATGCTTCCAGCCAGTGAGGGCATGAAGGAGTAAAAGGTTGGAAATGTCCAGTTAAGATTGTTCTAACGCTAGGGACCAGATTCCTTTTCATGGAGCAGGTGGGAGCCCGGATCAGCATTTGCTCCACGAACATGCAAGGAGGTGATGCAGAAGGTAACTTCTGTATTGTTAAATGTAGTGTAGTGATATGATTTCCCCGTTTCTTTCCTTAGATCTGCTGTAGCTAGCAGGAATTATGTCCCCTTGTCTTGTGTTCGACAACCTTAGTATATAAAGATTTCCTGTCTAAGAGAACAGACTGGGTTTCAAAATCCTCCCTGCGCGCTGGGCCCCCTGAACTGTAGAGCACCATTTTAGTTTGTATTTATTGAGGTTTTAATGTAATCTATGTTTTATTTCCGGTGTTGCCGCTTGTTTGCCGCCCTGGGCCGTATGGGTAGGGCGTAGGGCTGCCAAATGCAGCCGGGGGGCGGGGATTCCCCCGCTTCGGCGCCCCGATTTCCGGCGCGCCGGAATCGGGGCCCGGGGGAAACCCCACCCCCGCGTGCGCGTCACCCGGAAGTGACGTCGCACGCTGGGGGCGGGGCCATGCCATTTGAGGGGAAAACTCTTTTTTCCCCCCTCAAATGGTGTGGCCCCGCCCAGCGTGTGACGTCACTTCCGGTGACGCTCCGGCGTGCGCACACACAAGGAAGACTTCCGGACGGGAAGGAGCCTCCCCCGCCGGTGAGTCAAATCCATTTGGCAACCCTAGTAGGGCGGGATATAAATCCCTAAATAAATAAATAAATATAAATATAAATGTTCACGCATGTGGGAAGGGCTGAAGTGGTTAGGAAACTCTGTATATACTCAGAGGCAAACTTTACTAGTGTTCCCCAAGCCACTACATCACCAGCCACACAGAAATAACTAAAAAGGGTACCAAAAGCAATCCCCCCCAACTCTTTTGCTTGTCAGCCTAAGCAATATTGCCTGCCCACCCAATCCACTCGGTGGTAGGGTTGGCAAAACCCCCCCCAGTTTGGCAGGGGTCCCCCACTTTGGGGGAGGTTCTAACTGCCACCGGCCAGCTGGCTGATGGGGGAAGCCCCGCCCCCAAGCCCCAACACCTACAGCCACCCCTTTCCCTTCTCCCTGCACTTAAAGAGGCTCCCTTTAAGTGCAGGGAGCTGGCGTTTCCCACACCCCCGATCTCGAAGCAGAGATTGGGCGTGCAAAGCCTTCCAGCTCCCTGCACTTAAAGGGGCCCCTTATTTTCCCCTTGTTTGAAGTTTATTAGAGGTTTTGCTTTCTATGACTACCAACCTAACACCCTAAGAGAAAAGGGTGGTTGCCAACCTACAGGTGGAGTCTGGAGATCTCCCAGAATCACTTCTGATCTCCACGGAGGGTGGGCTCTGTGGTACGGTAGTTATAATGTAGTGGAGTTCCAGGCGTAGCATAGTGAAATCAGCTCAAGTTTTTCGGTTACATCAGAGCTAAGGAGATACTGGCCGGTCCGAGGCCGGCTTATATGCGTGTACACACTCACACCCAACACACACCCAATTCCCATGACAGGCTGTATTTACAAGACCCAGTCTATGATAGGTCTATATCAGGATCCGGGCGACCTTACTGGTGCGCACTAGGATCCACGGTGGCTATTGTTATAGGGACCGAAGGTCTGCTCGACCGCATGGCTTGGCTAGCGTGGCCGCGGCCATCTTAGCACATAACAGTAGCCCACTGAGGTCCCTCCCTTATCAAACCCTGATGCCCTCAGGCTCCACCCCTAAATCTCCAGGGATTTCCCAGCCTAGAGTTTGTGTGTTCATACCTTTTGGTTCATACCTCTGCTGTTGATCTTAGTTTTACATTTGTCATTGTTACTTGCTTTTAATCCTGTTCTGGTTTTCATAAGCTTGTGTGGAAAGGGAAGGTAGAAATTACTTCAATCAACTCTAAACGGTACACACCCAGAGGCCGATTGGCCATTAAAGGCCACCTGGAAAGTCCTGGCTGGCCAGTGGCCTGCTCCCCCCCCTCACTGTGACCACCCCATAGCTACCCCCCTGCCAGGACCCCCATGTCCACAAGCCGGCTGCCGTTGGCCCACAAGTCACATGGAAGGAGGTGCCCAGGCCAGCCCCACCTGACTTGGCAAGTGATAAACCCAGCCTGACTCTCCTGGTGCAGTGAGGAGAGTTGCCAGATCCGAGTTGGGAAACTCCACCAGCCCCCTGCCGGGTGGAACAGGCTCCCCATCGAGATCAGGGTCCTGCGGGATCTCCTTCGATTCCGCAGGGCCTGTAAGATGGAGCTGTTCCACCAGGCCTTTGGCTGAGGCAGTGGGCGCCCATGTACGGCCTCCCTGAAGTTTCTGTCACCCATCTAATAACTGCTGGCTACTATTATCTGTTACCAACAGGCCAGGGAAGCTCTCGCAACCAGCCAACTTCTGTCCTTGGATTGTGTTATGTATTGGGATTGAATCATCCCTGATTGAATCACCTTAGAGACTGGCTGAGCTTGGAGCACAAGAATAATAACCGACCAGGACTCTGGGATAAACCAGTCAAGTAGTAATGCTTTGTAAATAGCCTATCATGGGGAGTGGGTGGGTGAGGGGTGGGGTGGGGTGTTTTGCATGCATATAAGCAGGGCTCCAGCCCTCCTAGAGTTGTCTTAGAGTTGAACTGAAATCACGAATAAACTATGAGCTGATCACTATACGCATCTCCATCCCAGTATATTTCAAATTGTGACTTCCATTTTTATGTACACTATGGTATTTTTTTTTTTAAAAAAAATAATTATTATTATTATATTTCTTGTATTGTTGAAATGTTGTTACCCGCCCTGAGCCCGCTTGCAGGGAGGGCAGGATATAAATATGAAAAATGAAAGAAATATTTGGAAATGGAGCCCGGGGAGGACAGGGACCTCACTGGGGTGCAATGCCATAGAGTCCACCCTCCAAAGCATCCCTTTTCTCCAGGGGAACTGATCTCTGTAGTCTGGAGGTGAACTGTAATTCTGGGTGATCCCCAGGTCCCACCTGGAGGCTGGCATCCCAAGCAGTGAGTACTGTGCCCTGCTAAGTCTTGCAGCATGGGGCTGGCGGAGCAGGCTCGCTCTTCCTATCCTCATGTGGAGGACTGCTTTTTCCACCCCAGTCCACTCCCGTACATACCTAGTATACTTACACTGACTGACAGCACGGGGCCGGCTTTGTACATCGCATAGCGATCCGTCGCTGCACAGATGTTGGGGAAGCCATTACTGGGGCTGGCGATTCCCAGCTGCTCGGCTATATAGCTGTTAAAAGCTTTCATCCGCGAAGGGCTCCCTCCGATGCACACAAACTAGTACAAACGGCATGAAAAGGAGAGAACAGTTTGACTATGAGTCACTCTGCTGGAGCGGAGCAGTAAGTAAAACGCGGAGCAGTAAGTAAAACGCAGAGCAGAAGGAGCGGATATGGAAAAGGAAGGCTTGGATCTGAAACGGCCATCTCTGCTAACAGAACAGCTTTTCCATTTGCAGCGGAAGGGGGGGTGATTCCCACCAATTCACCCTGGGGCCACTCTAGGCTCCAATGTGGCCCCCCACACTCTCCCTGGAGGTCCACTCCCCTGGAGGGGCACAACTGCAAGCAGGGGCAGATTCACCATGAAGCAGACTAAGCACGTGCTTAGGGCACCAGGGCCAAAGGGGGCAACACAAAGTTGGGGAAAGGGTGAAAAAAAAAGAAAAATGAATGACGATTTGTAAAAAAAAAAAATGATAAAACTAGTGCACATTGATCACGGTGCCCCCTTAGGGTTATCTTCTATTTTTTGTTGGCGAGGTGCAGTGTCATAGGCTATGACACAAAGATTGGTCAGGGCACCAGTGACCTTTAATCAGCCCCTGACTGCAGGGGCAGAGAAGGCTGCAGTGGGAGAAGGAAGGCAGGGACATTTCCTCCTGGGCATCTCCCCTTCAGCTAGGGTTACCAAGCTCCAGGTGGGGCCTGGAGATCTCCTGGATCAGGGCTCTTTTTGTAGCAGAAACTCTTCTGCATATTAGGCGACACACCCTTAATGTAGCCATTCCTCCAAGACCTTACAGAGCTCTTCTTACAGGGTGTGTCACCTAATATGCAAAGGAGTTCTTGCTACAAAAAGAGCCCTGCCTGGAATTGTAATAGATCTGCAGATGACAGAGATCAGTTGTCCAGGGGGAAATGGCTGCTTGGGAGGGTGGCATTATACCCCGGCTGAGGTCCCTCCCCAAAGCCCACTCTCTTGAGGCTCCAGTCCCCAAAACTCCAGGAATTTCTAGACCCAGCAGTAGCAACCCTACATGAGCAATAGAAGCTTTGTTGTGGCCCTCCAATAGGACCTTCTGTCTTCAGCAGAGGTCATTTCCTGCAGGAGCGCATAGGAGCGGAGCTCCGGCAATAAAAAGCCCAGGGGGCGGGCCCATGCAACAAGCCCCACCCCCTGCTCCTAGCAGCCCTCAGTCAGAGCAAGAAGCAGCCAGGTAAGTTGCACAGCCCCCCCCAGCACCCCAGTCCAAAACAGTCTAGTGGCACCTTTAAGACCAAGTTTTATTCAGGTACAAGCTCTCCCTCCTCTGCGAGGACAGATCTGCACGTCCCCCCCCCCCAATAGCTAGCAATCCAAAACAGTCCAGTGGAGCCTGAGCGGTGGGTGTTGCCTTCTGCCACACTTCCGGCGATGTCAGGGTGTGTGGCATATGTAAATGAGCTATGCTAATGAGTTATGCTAATGAGATCCTGCACCTCTTTTTTCTACAAAATGACCCCTGATCTTAGGGGAACTGTGCAATGAGATGGAGTGGAGCAGGACGGTCTGGACTGCTGTGAGAGGGACACTTGCAGGCATTTGTGTGGTTGCCAGCTCTAGGTTGGGAAATTCCTGGGTGCGGAGCCTGAGAAAGGTGGGTTTGGGGTTTGGGGAAGGGAGGGACCTCAGCAGACTATAATGCCATACAGTCTGTCCTCCAAATCAGCCGTTTTCTCCAGGGGAACTGAACTCTGTTGTCTGAAGATGAGTTGTAATTCTGGGAGACCTCCAGGCCCCACCTGGAGATGGCAACCCTCATTTTGCCAGAAGGCCTGGAGGCCTGATACATATCCGTTGTGGAGCATCCTTCTTGTTATGTACTGAGCCTAAAGCCATTCCTCAGGCTGTACCTAGAACGGATTGAGCTTGCTTCTCTAGAACAATAGCTTGCCTGGATCCAGGAACAAACCAATAGATAAGTGATGTAATGTAAATAGCCTATCACTGGGAGTGTGTGTGTGTTGGGTGTGGTGTTTATAAGAAGGGCTCAAGCCCTGCTAGTGGTCCTTGTAGTTTGCTGAAATCACTCAATAAACTAGAGCTGATCACTGCAATGCGTCTAGAACCCAGTATTTAACACTTCGGAACCTCAGACATTTGGGGGTGCAGATCAAATCTGCTTACACCAGCTTGGTTTGCCAGCGTTCACTGAAAATCTTGGTTACAGCCCGATGATGGAGAAAAGCCGTATTCTTATGGGCACTCCTAGATGATCACCTGGTTGGCGAGAGAGAGCAGTGCTAATGCAGGCTCCAGGGGTCCAAACCAATCTTCTGTGTCCAGCCAGGGGTCATTTCATAGAAAAAGAGGTACAGGAGCTCATTAGCATAACTCATTTGCATTTTGTGGCTAACAGCCACTGATGGACCTCTGCTCCATATCTATATATCTAATTCTGAAGTCGCCCCCTGGTGTGCGGATACTTAAATCCGCACATCGGGGGCACCTGGGGGGGAGGGAGAGTTTTGTGCACACGTGGGGCGGTCCCCGAAACTCACAGAGCGTCCCCTGCGCATGCGCAGGGAATGCTCTGCAAACTCCAGGTTGAGGGAGGGGGAAACAGCGAGGGGCGAGCGGCTTGCCGCT